TGAAAGCAGATCATCAGGCCTTTCTTGTGAGGCACCTCTGGGTGGGTTTGAACTGCTGGCTTTCAGGTCAGTGGCTGAGTGCTTAACCTATTGCTCCACCCAGGGACTCAGACAAACCCACAGTGCTGTCTAATTTAGTGCCTTAGGTCACCCTGGACATGTTATCAGGAGGGATCAATCCCTGGAGAAGGACATCATGCTTGGTAAAGTAGAGGGTCAGTGAAAAAGAGGAAGAACCTCAAAAGAGATGGACTGACACAGTGGCTGAAACAATGGGCTCAAACATAGCAATGATTGTGAGGATGGCACAGTGTTTCGTTCTGTTGTACATAGGATTGCTATGAGTCGGAATCGACTCCATGGCACCTAACAACAGCAGCAGGTCACCTTTTCTGTTGCCTTAGCAATTCTGAGTCCTTGACAATACTAATGCCACTTTGTTTTCATCTACAGCTGTGTAAATTACATAATGCTTTTGTAATACAAATTATGCAGAGAATCAAATACTTACTTTTCTTTATATCTTAGGGAACCCTGCCCCACTGGTGTTTAATTAGCCTGTATTTTTAATGTTTTTCTTCCACACTATCCTGGTCTGGAGTCCCTTACCTTAGATAATGAAGTCTACTTTAAATAATAATAATAATAGTACCAGTATTTTACATATCAACTTCTGTTCAACATAGAGGTTACAAATTATATTTTATTTTTCACTTTTACTCTTTATTATTATGCTACCTAGTCATTGTGGTATTTTACAGAACTCATTTGTTTTTTTTTTAAACTCCACTAACATAAATGGAGCCTTATTATATATCTATATAGCTATATATCTGTATATTTCTCTATCTATCCATGTGTATTTTGTCTTTGATTTTTTTGGTTTGTTAATTTTTTGGATTACTTTTAAATTTAGGTGAGATTATGTGTGTTTGAATTCTTGGAGAATAATTAAAGTTATAAATGAAATATAGGGCAGGGTTTTCTGAAGGCAGAGGAGAGAAGATGAATCTTCTAAGGTTAGAGAAAAGGATGAGAAAGCAGAGTAGAGACAGAAAGTTCTTGAGCTGGGTGCAAAGAAAATGGAGATGTTTATGCCAAGTATCATTAGGAGCCTCCATGAATGACACAGGGTATATTGAGAGTGAGCGTTAAAGAGAAAGATGGGAATTTTGAACTCTGAGGGCAAAGTATTCCTGATAGGTAAATATTAAAATGTATCAAGATAAAAAAGTCCTATTACACAGGAAATCCAGAGTAGAAGGGAGGAGTGTGCTGTCACAGTACAGGGAGAGCAACTAGGGTCACACAACAATGTATGTATAAATTTTTGTATCAGAGACTGACTTGAATGGTAAACCTTCACTTAAAGTACAACAATTTAAAAACAAAGTCCTTTTAGAAGACAAATAAAGTCATCTGTTAGACTTAATCATGTTTAGCTAATCAGGTACATTAACACTATTTTAATTGCTAGCTCAAAATTTGCACCATCGTGGTAATATATCTTGTACTCCTTTAAAAATTTGGAAGAGAGCTCAGAAAATTTGTTATTAAATATGGAAATTACTCAAAGGAAATTAGATAAATTCTAATTATGAACTAGAATCATCTTTTTCCTATTTAATCTTATCAGTTCTAATATCTTATTAATTCCCCTCAGTCTCAATGCTAGTATACATTTCTATAAAAATTGATTTAATGATACTCTTTGATATATCTTGGGAAATTTTCCTCATCAGAATGTATTATCTTAATCTTATTTTGCATCTCTGACATTTTTTAGCTTTTCTTTTATCCCATTAAATGCCTAATGCATGTATAAAACTTCCCTCTACAGCTCCCATGCACAGAAATAAATATTAATCTATGTAATCTAAAAAAAAAGAGTGTTATTACAAAATGGGACCTAGTAGACTATAATCAGAAATAATGGCATAAAGTGAAGCAAAGAAACTTCAGGGAGACTGTCAAGAAACTTTTAATGGCTTTGTAAGAATGATTGTAAGTCTGGTCAAGGATGTCTTATGGGGACAGCATACAAATAGGAAAATAATTCCCAACAGAGCAGTGTATTTTCCTGTTGAATAGTTTTGCAGCAAACAAAAGGATGGCAATTTCTCCTGGTTCAGGGGTTGTCTGACTGACAGTTATGTGTCAGGTCACTCACACTTTCCATTTTTTTGGCAGATTTTGTTGGTAGCTTTACACAACAGCAAAGATTTTATAAACAATTTTCCTGTACTCAGAGCCTTTCATCAACCCCAGGTCCCACTTCTTCCTGCCTTTCACGTACATAGCTCATAGACTGTATTTTTACTTAAAAAACATGAGACTTCTGCATTTGTTTGCCAACCATGCACTTCCTCCAGGAGGTTATTTATGTAAGAGTGCTATACTAATTTTTTTTTTTTTTAATATTTTATTGTACTTCAGGTGAAGGCTTGCAGAACAGATAGTTTCTCATGTAACAGTAACACACATGCTGTTTTATGACATTGGTTA